CCCTGCAGACAAGTCAAAACTCACACACCCTGGTCTCACATGGGACTGCACAGCACATGTACACAATTCATGACACACCAACGTTGACATGATACAGCTTCTTTTTATTCATCAACATAGAATAATTTACATAAAACTCTGCTCTTCAGCCGATGAGGGCGAGGAGATTGGCTCGAACTGCTGAGGAGAGAAAGAGACGGATGTTAACTCATCACTGCCATTAGGACTGTGGATCTGCAGGTCTTACAGGCCAGGGGCTCCCAGCACAGCCTCCATGCTCCTGCAGATCCCATTGGAGCAGCAAGCCAGAGTCACACAGTATGCCATGCACAGTATGCAGGGTGACTGGGGACCCCTAGTGGTCGATCAGCAGTAAGGCAGGCTACGCTCAGAAAGCCTCCCCCAGTAAGCACTGCTAGAGGGATGTCAGGGGTAGATAACCATCAGCTCCGAGGGAGTCTGGACCACACAGAGCTCCAACTGCTCCGACTGGAGAGAGAATGGGACAATAAAAGTGCAAGAGCGTCGGTGAACTGAATCCTGGGAAGGTGCAGCCACGCTGCGAGCCAGTCACTAACGATGGATTTAACTGGGAAGACGAACCACCCCCCCTCCCCCCCCACTGCCACTCACGAGCGAGTCCTCGAAGTCGAAGGTGCGAGCCAGCGGGTTGGCGCAGCGGCGGATGGGGGCGGGGCGCGGGGGGGCGGGGCCGCAGGACGTGTAGAAGGCGCACTCCTCGTCCAGCAGGGCCTCCTGGAGAGACGGGACTAGGGGGCGGTGCCGTCGCAGTCTGGTGCCTGTAGGAGGCGCTGGCGTGCTGCCTGCGGAGCAGATCAGACCAGAATCAGAAATGCAGGCTCACCGGTGAGGTTTGCCGACGCCAGGGAATTCCTCCCCGGAAGCTGCTGCAGGAGTCGTCTGCAAGTCCCTTTAAAAGGGTCACTTCGCATTGAACCCAGAGAGATCTGTACTACGAACTAGCTGCCAGTAAGAGACAAGGCAAGGGCTAACTGAAGACCCTCCAGGCTGAACAGCGGACTGATTCATACAATCAACAGGAGAACACTCTACTGTCAGAAAGGTTTAGTAAATACGGGCTAACCTGGGAGGTGTTTATGCCCCCCATTAAGATCAGAATCCTCTAATTCAGAAATGAAACCAAGTCCTAATTCTGTAATGCCCAAACTTATATAGTTTTGAATAAGTGTATTTCTGTATTTATTGCCCACTCTCTGCTGGCACAATGTAAATACCTCTGAAAGGTTATAAACTGAAAGAAAAAAAAAGGCTAAAACCTTCTGAGCATGGTTTATACATGCACTGCGTGCTCTTCAATTAGTAGTGGTGGAGGAGGGCAGTCCCCATTACCTGTAAAGCACTGTGAGTGGAGGGTCCAGAAAAGTGCTATGTAAGTGTGAGAAATTATTAATTAATAGTAAAGGGGTGACTCGTTGGTACCCGCCTACCTGCGAGCCTCGGAGTCACCTGGGCTGCCTGCTAGAGCACGCTCTACATTTCTCGACAGCAGCCACAGGAGAGAGGGATAGGAAAGGGCAGAAAAAATCCCACCTCCAGGATCAACCGCAATAACCAGAACAGGAGAAGGGAAAACAAAATCCTGTTTTCTTCTGTTGCACAACATGCTGCTCTCCAGCAGAGGCACTGTCTTGGGTGCACCCACTCATGCCCATATCTTCCAACACTGTGATGCCGCTGGGGGTGTGGTCCTCAGACCAGTCCTCTAGAGTAGATAGATGGGCCTCGGGACAAAAGACTCCCCAAAACAGCGCTGCAATTAACTGCGCTTAGTTTATTCAAGCAACAGAAAAAACAAATTCCTATGTCATGGAGGCTTCTAAATGCTGAGGGTAGCTATTCTGCCCCTCTTATGCAAAAAAGAAAAATATCTTGTATTCTAACATGTAGAAATAAATCTTTGCCGTAATCCGACTCCCTGCTCTGGCCTTTCTCTGTCCGTAGTCCACTTCGGGCTTCTTCGTGCCATTTCCCTTCCCTCTGTCCGGCGTGTCCTTTAGCAACAGCATCTCATCTTTCAGCTTCTTTTAGTCCTGCTATCTTCTCCCCCCC